TCACGTTAACACTAAGATAAGCCTACGCCTAACACGCGTTGCCGGTGAGTCTTATTCCCGTAATAATAGCAAAGCCTACGTATTCAACATCGTAGCGGGTCGTTATTAATAACACCAAAATCCATGTCTTACACGCATGGGGAACCTTATCCCAAATCCTAAGTAGGGATAAGCCTACGCCTAACACGCGTCGCCGGTTAGTCTTTTTCCGTAAAAAATGACAAAGTCTATGTATTCAAAATCATAGCATCAAGTCTAATAGAGTTCATTCTCTTAGCACAACGTTACATGTGGAACGGAGAGTTCATTCTCTTAGCACAACGTTACATGTGGAACGGACTTAGACAATCCACATGCTAGCCCGATTCAAACGGTAGTCGGTAAAGGCTTATCAAATCCGTTGATGGTTGAGGGTTTGCCAAAAATCCTATGCATGTTTAAAGGCCCATCAGCTTAATGGACGTGAGCTGAGACTTGAAACAGATAAGCTAAAGACAAGTTTCAAAAAACTTAGTCAAAAATGCACGGAAGCCACTTCCATGCCTCAAGTTAAAACGCCGAGGTCAGACCCGCGTTACAAAAATCACGACGCCGAGGTCACACCCGGGTTCCAAATTCAAAACGTTGAGGTCAGACCCGCGTTACAAAAATCACGACGCCGAGGTCACACCCGGGTTACAAATTCAAAACGCCGAAGTCAGCCCCGCGTCTCAAGTCCAAAATGCAGGGTCCACCCCCGCATTCCAGAAGCAGGATTATGACGCATACCTTCATACAGGTCCTACGTGGCAAATCCCTTCAACCAAGATACCTTCGAAGCGAGTGCAGAGAACGACTCATTTACGATAAGGAATCAACAGCTCCAAGATCAGAGTTAAGATCCAAAGTATTCCGAAAATTCGTCCCAGTCAACCGCGAACTTTCGAAAACTTTGGAGGGGGTTCTGTAGGCTGTCTAAAAATCACAAAAGATAGCTTATCCCCCATCAAACATCGATGATGGAAGTCACAATCTGACGACTTCCAGAAGACTACAATTTGAAGACTTTCACATAGATCGCTGAAGGTTATAATCTGACGACCTTCACGACAACTGATGAAAGCCCCAATTCAACAGCCTTCACAATCAACATCGGGAGTTACAATCTGACGACTCTCATATATCAGAGAGCTAAAGCAAAGATTACAAAATGACGATCTTTGCAACGCTTCGACAGAAAGAGACTACAAATCGACGGTCTCTTCAAATCAAACTGTGGAAGTCCTCCCCGCACACCAGCATCAAGACGCACCGCGTTCATAGCCACGAACGCAGCTCAAACGCAGCTCCAATCGCTGCCAAGCACAGCTCAAACGCAGCTCCAATCGCTGCCAAACGCAACTCTGAACGCAACTCAAATCAGCTCTGAACGCAACTCAAATCAGCTTCTGGACGCAGCTCAATATCGCTGCAGAACGCACCTCCATATGTTGCGTTCAGACACAGAATTCATGCCAGAACGCGGATCTGCGTTTGACTCGTTCAAACACGAGCTGAACGGTTTCAAAACCGTTTCCCATGATCTGAGGGGATCATAACTCCACTCAGGAGTGATTTAAGGGG